ACATTCATTCGAAAATAGCAAATGTCATTCGATAGAAAATTAGCATTCGAAACGGTTGAAAAATGTAAGTAAAAATTTCTTCTTTTGTATATTTTTTATAAAAATCAACTGATTTTAGGGAAATTAAATCAAAAAACGCACACACAAAGCTAAGGCAATTTGAAATCATGATAGATTTCATGGAGAATCATTCTCAGCTGGCAAAAGGCATTTTAAAAACCGCAAACGGGAAAAGTACCAGTAACTCCCTGTGGAAAACTTTGGTGGAAGACTTAAACGCTGCTGGCCCTCCAACACGCGATGTTGCTGGATGGAAAAAGGTAAGAAAGTACTTTTTCCCCCAAAATAATACGATTAAAGTATTTATCTAATATTTAAAGGTGTGGGCGGATTACAAAAACCATTTAAAGTCCAAGCTACGCAAAAACAAAAATAGCTTAGCCGACACGGGTGGCGGGCCATCAAAATATTGCTCGCTTACCCCATTGGAAGAACAAGTTGAGAGATTAATGGCGATGGGGGAGGCAATTGATGGCACAGTAGGCGCGTCAAATTTTGGAAGTATTTATGCCGGCCAAGATGCTGAACGTTCAATAAGCTCAGAAGCAGTTGGAGAAAATTTTGCAGACTGTGATGATGTGATGGAAATATGCTTGGAGAGCAACGAAAATGCTACGTCCCAACAGCAGACTCCAGTAAAAAGAACACGGCGGGTAAGTAAAGTTGTGGAGAAAGATGCACTCCTCCGAAAACAAGTTGAGAACCAAGCGACGTTCCACGCAGATTGTCTTTCTGAATTAGGAAAGATTCACGATGATCTGAAATACTTGGGAAAGCACATGAAGAAAAACAATGAACTAAAAGAAAAGAAATTAAAACTCCAAATTGGAAAATTTAATTACAAAAAGGAAATGGACTTGGAGAAGAGGAAATTAATGATTAATAAGCTTAAATTAAAGCAGCAACTTTTAGAAATAAAATTACAAAGGAGAGAATTAGATGGTTAAAGTACTACAAAAATAATGTCAATTAATTGATATACAGTGACTTGTAAAGCGATCCCACTTCCATCTTGCAACTCTCTCAACGAGGTTTTTCGTAATATTTTATTATTTTTTGTAGAACCATAGTTTATGTAAAAAAACTATTGGGGTATTCACAACGATGTCGTAAGTGTCGTATTGTTGTATGTCGTAAACTTTAAACGCCTAAAAAATATATTAAGGGGGCTCGCAAAGTACCATCAAAGACATATTATGCATTTTCGCATTGTTAAAAAATAGTTGGTTGTGGTTTCAAGTTTTCTAAACATTTATTTAAGCTTTTAAAGTTTACGACATACAACAATACGATACTTACGACACCGTTGTGAATCCCTCATATATGTATTAAAGTTGTAAACTTTTTCTAAAATATGAATTTACATAAAGTCTAAAACTTAGATACATGTAGTTTTTGTTACCTTAACTATGCTACTATAAAAAATAATAAAATAGCACGAAAAACATTGAGAGTTGCAAGAAGGAAGTGTAATCGCTTTTGTGTGCTCACTTTCAAAGTGTGTGTGCATGTGTTATGTGCAATGAAGTACGGTTTTGTTTTATAATAGTTTTACTGCAATGCAAAATGAAATAGGTATTGTTTTTATCACTAGTTTTTATTAAATGTTTGTTTTTTAAACAGTTATGCTATACGCGATTGGCTTGAAAAAATAAATGAATTACTAATAAAAATGTTTTCTATTGAATAAACGTAACTCGAGTAAACATATTATTTCGGATGTCGTCTCTGATATTTACAGCAGCACTTCGTAAATCGATGTCCACTGAAGAATACATGTAAGTGGTTGAGAAATCTTCTTCAACCGGTATATCGGAAGGAGCAGCGATTTTGTACAAAATACAAATGTTATGTAGAGCGCAGCATGCATTAAGTATTTGCACACATTTTTGAGGAGCATAGTGGAGCTCTCTAGATGCTAAAAGACATCTAAATCTTGCTTTAAGTACACCAAAACACCTTTCTATTATGCACCGCCCTTTCGCAAAATTTTCGTTAAATTTCGCTTCATGGCTGTTTTCGGCCACGTTTCGATACGGAGTTAAAATCCAAGGCTCTAATGGATAGCCCGAGTCTCCTAAAAAAAGAAAATTTTATAATGTAAACACATGTACGTATATGCAAAATTAATTGAATTTCAAATATAATTTTTACCTAAAATCCACGTTCCACTTTCTCCATTTTCATAGTTTCCTTTCAAATATCTCCTTTCTCCCGAAATATTCCATATATGGGAGTCATGGCAAGCACCTCCGTATCGTCCGTCCACCGCTCGTATTTTCATATTATGGTCACATATCTTAAGTTGTAAAATGTTTCATATAAAATTACATTTTTATATACTTACGTACATACGAAGGCATGAATGGATGAAGGAGATATGTCGCAAAATTAAGTTTAAAGTTTCGCATAAACATTTTGAGATATTCCAAAACGTATAAAGAATATTTATATAAAATGGGTAATGAGCATAATAACGGATTATTTACGGCTAAGAAGTGTTTAAATGCATATAGCATCTTCATCCATTCATGCCTTCATATGTTCTATTAGTAAGGTACCTACCACCATAGCATTCAAACTATGTTTCAATTTCCTATTGAAATACAAATGTTCATTCTCTACCGGACGAATCATCTGGATGTGGGTGCCATCTACGGCTCCTACAACACCGGGAATTCCACATGTGCGAAAAAAATGTCGTTTTGCATCTCTTTTTTCATTCTCCGTCATTGCGAACACAATGTGTTTTGGACATAGAACTTTTTCACTTCATTTTCATCCTCCTCAAACCACAAAGCCACTGAATCCATTTTATAAAATATTATATTAAGTTATTATAATGCTTCATAAATACAAATGTACCGATATTTTATTTAATTTTAAATTTTTGACATTTCAAGTGTAATTTATGTAAATTTCGAACATATTGTTGCCACACTTTCATACTCATTTGCGAAAGCGAATGCGCAAGTGTTAAGTGGTGTCAATATTAGTTCGGATCGCATCTGGCTTTCGAATCGCATTGTTTTTCGAATCGCAATACATAGTAAGGCCCCTGATGTGCAGAAAATTTCAAATGAAAGGGATAAAGGCAAAGATTAAAATAATAGTAAAGAAATCTAAATATAAAGACAAAGAAGAAGAGAAAGGAAAATTTAAATACCTAACCTAATAAAAATGGTGGGGGGTGAATAT